AAGAAGCTTGTTGAAGAAATAATCATGTGGCCGGTATACATAAACTTCTAAATAGGTGAAGGCCAGCGAAGGATGGCTAGGGGAGGACTGCATGATTCTTGGATCAGAGAGAGGAAAATGTTCATATGGCGCGTGAGATCTAGCTTCTCTAGTCCTGGTTGACTCCCTGACTCTTTCTTCTTACTGATCCACATCTCATGACTATACCATGTCAAGATAGTCACTTCCTGTTCTGAACAATGTAAATGCTTAAAGTAGTTGAGTTCTCATTCTTTCCACCTGCAAAAGATCAAGTGCATTCTACAGTACAGAATCAGGACAAATGCCATCATCTTTCCAACCTTGCCCCAAAATGTAGTGAGGGGCGAAGGATTTAATACTACTCACTTTCTACAGTAGAAATACAGTTCCTTGAAGCAGAGCAATTTCATGGGGAGTACGGGGGAGAGGGGCCTGCATCATTGCAGTAATTCTTTACCATTTGATGCGCTGGGGTGGGACTGTAGGTCCAGGCTGCTCACTGATATTTCGCAGTGGCTGTCCTTCATAAACTTCACAGACATCCATCCATTCACCAAGGCCAGCAGATGGACGAGATTCTCTCAGCTACAGACAAACAACTTTATCTTCATTTGTTGGTTATTCTAGTGAGGATGGATTTATAAACATTGGCCTGGGTGTGGACACCACTGGGACTGGACGCAAGGGGCCCAAAAAGAAGGCTTGTGAGAAATAAACACCTGGCAGGTAACAAACTCTAAACAGAAGAAAGGCAGAAGATGCTAGGGTGGACGCAAGTAAGGCCCATCTACCTCGAGTAAAGCGACAGGATCAGAAGGAGGGGTCATGAAAGGTAGAAAGGAGCACAGGGGTGAGGTATCCCAGGTGTGTAGAGAGCAAAAGTCCCAGAGACCCAGGAAGTGTCTAAGGAAGTTAGGGAAGAGTCAACGGAGATCCACCCCTCAGGAAGGGTGTAGTCGGGCAGCATACCGAGCCCCAGCTAAGGGGGTGACCTCTGACCACCGGGGCAGGTGGTTTGCCCCATGGGTCTTCGGGTAGGACGTACCAGGTAATCCATTTAGGAGGGAGCGCCAGGGCAGGAGGTGATGGGGCGAACAAGATAGTATGTCCTGCTTTTCTTGGGTGCAGTGAGTTTCTGCATTACAGGCCTTTTGGGAACACCCTGACAGGTGACATCGAAGGTAATGAATGTCACAGTAGGAAATTGTGCAATGCTTGCTAAGCATGAACTGGACTCTGACTATTCCCCCGCCCCCCGTTTTGAATCTCTCGTGCTTACAGAAATTGTAGCAATTTTTTTGTTTTTTCAACTGGGCGTGCGCGCATCGGCAGCCTTCCCAGATACCAGTGCTGCCAAAGTGCATACTGTGTTCTGTGAGTTTTAGATTGTTTATTTTAGAAACACAATATCCTTCATACTGACAGCCGTGTCGAATGACTGTACATGAAGAATACATATACCAGCAAGACACATGTGGGTATGAAGTAACCCTCTATGGAATATGGGAGAAAGAAATAGACATTTGCTGAAGCCCTATGATGACAAATGGGAGATACTACAGCTCCCCAGACCATATTTCTAATTTATTTACTTTTTAGCATTGAGTATCTTATATTTGAAAACAGAAGGGATGAAGTCACAGCTAGAATGCATCCACCTGGTGCCTACCGTCAGCTAAAGTGAAAAATTACCAAGGATATGCCTTTACCCACAAATGTGGCCTTCCACATCATGGCAAGGTCACCCAGAATGGATGACCAAGGAAACCCAGAATAGCTTTCTGTATGAATTTTGCTATCAGATGAATTATGAAGTACATAAAGATTTTTACAAATGGGAGCACAAGGCCTGCTGAGCAGAAAATTCACAAAATTCACTAAAACTCAAACCATATTTACCAGTTATTCTCCCCAGTGTGATATTATGTAAACGAGTAATTCTGTTAGAGTTATAGGGTGGTTCTGACCCAGGATTTGCCACTGGCAACTGTTGGGCCTCAGACAAGCCACTTACCCTCTCTATGCTTCTAGAGATTATGTTTCATAGGAGGAAATTGAACTAGACTAGGGGTTTTCCATCCTTGACAGTTATAGAAACTTTGTTCAGATGAAATCTTGGGCAGTAGCCCACATAGAAAACAAATTAAAATGAAGCCAATCTTATTGAAGGAAGGGTCAGTGACCCGTTTCTTTTCCAGTTTGTTGGCTCAACATGAACCCCTGCCACAGTCCCAGTCCCAGGTGTGCAGGGCAGGCCCCAGGTGTCTCTGGTGTTATACAGGTGCACAGTTTAAAAAACACTGGAGCATATGGCACCTCACATCCTTTCCAGCTTGAAAATATTGATAGTGAACAGACCAGAGCTGGAATCGGAGCCCTGACAAAAATATAGCTGGTGTGAAAACTAAAGCAGGACAGTGTATAGGGGACAGAAAGTTACAATCCTGCCAAGTTCAATGTAATGTATATCAAAACTGTTGGTTTTTTTTTAAAAGTGGGCATATTTTATTCATTCACTAAATGAACATTTTCTAAGTACTAACTATGCATTGGTAATACAACAAGTAGAAAGATGCAGCCCCAGTCCCAGCCTGATCTGTTTGAGACATGGCTGGGTAGACTCATGGTAATCACAGCTGGATGTGATGAAGTGGTGTGAGGGGTAGGAGGGACAGGGCGCTCAGCAAGAGCCTTCTAGGAAAGGAGATACCGCCTCTGAATCTAGTAGCCAGGAGAAATGAGAGAGGGGATGGAAGAGTGGAAAATACATGCAGAAAGAGAAATGAAGTATGCAAAGTTTCAGAAGCAGAAGAGAACCGGGTGGGTCCTCAGGAATGAGAAGCCAGCCCATCAGCCAATATGGGGAAGGTGAGCGAACCCAGGGTCAAGAGGAGCCCGCCACGCCCCTCTCGGAAGTTTGGCCTTTGTCCTGGGGACCATGCATACTCAGGGCAGAGTTTCAACAGGAGGGCAAACTAATCTAAATCTTACATACACTGCCGGTTTATTCAAAGCAGGAAAGAAAAACTGAGTTTGAATGAGGCATCAGTTGATAAATGAAGATGAAGCTGGCAGTGCCAATAGGTGATCTCAGGGAGCCTGTCTTCCTCCTTGATAAAAAAATAATAATAAATGGTATTAATCTCTGCCTTCTCTATCTCATGGTGCTATGGTGAGGATCCAAGAAGATCATGTATGTCAAAGAACATGATAAACTGGGAAGTACTCTGCAGGTCTTTAAGAAATTATGGAAGTAGCAACATCAGTAGCAAAATTCTGAGGGAGGAACTACCAGATCCGCAATAAATAAGGCATCCTAGGAGACTTTGAACAATCCCTAAATCCTAGATGGTTGCATAATTACGTCTAAACTGAGATGAAAGCAACTGAATGCTCAAGCGTAGGAGGTTTTTGCGATATGCATAGGTGTCAAATGAGTATAAGTAGATGACTACATCTTCTGCTCCAGTGAAAGTGATGTAATATGTTGAAACCATCTTAGAAAAGAAACAACTAATACCGTACATTTCTAAGCATTTACACATGATTTATCTTGAGACACATTATCTTTATCTTATGGGGGAAAAAAAATAGAGAAATTAAGTGGTTTGCCAAAGATTACCGGCTCACTGTTGACAAGGTTATATAAGTTATATATAAGTTTGCGTTCAAAAGTCAGGCACTGCTTGCATTTATAACAGTTTATGATGTTGTCTTACATAGACATAAAATCTTTTCTTTCAAGGAATTTATACCAAAGTTTTACCCGTTCCCTGGAAGAAAAGTCCACAAGGAAAAAAGGTTAACCTAAAGGTGACAAGAGAAAGAGCCAGGAAGAATTTGTCAGTCATTTTCTCCGTCCTCTCACTTTTCAGATAATGGACCGATGGGAGAATCAAGGCAGTCCTCAAACGAGTTTATCTGCTCCGGCCATACCGCAGAACCTGCCCTTCCCACCTGCCCTTCACAGGAGCTCCTTTCCTGACTCAACCGAGGCCTTTGACCCGCGGAAGCCTGATCCATATGAGCTCTACGAGAAATCTAGGGCCATTTATGAAAGTAGGCGTAAGTGAAAGCCACATGAAACAAGGGTACATTAATAATAGCTGAGGCCCTACCAGGAGATATATTGAGGCTGAATGATCTGGCATGGTTTTATATTCTGAGTTTCAAAAGTGTTTCAAGAGCAGAGCCAGCTGGTCTAAAATTATCTTCGAAAGCCTGTTGACTCTAAAAGTAGGTTTATTATATCTTTCACCTTACATTTTATCTCCTACTTTTCTTCCCCTAATCTCCTGAAGAAAATCGGGAATATATTTTTTGGGGTTTGGCGGTGAGGTTGCTGGTTTTGTTTAGATTACCAAATACAGAAAAGAAGTGTTTGGCTTTTTTTTTAATCTGTTTAATCTGATCTTGAGCCTAAAGCATAGATTTTTCTTAGAGCCTTGAATGTAGCCATTGAAGAAGTTAGGACCTTAAGTAAAATGTCAGCCAAGCCTTCCCAACTCACAAGCATGAAATCAACTGGTTCCGAATGCAGTACTGATCTAGGTGCCAATCATCTCTCCACAGTTTTCTGCTTCTCTTTCAGTGCAGTCAGGCACATTTGAACATTCAGTCTTAAAATGTCGTGTATGCACTTGTCACCTTATCTGAAGGTCTTTTAAAATTGTTGTACTTTATAAACATTAGAAAACAAGGCTTTTAATATTGCTTGCACCATTGTTGTGCTTCTTTCTACCATCTTGCAAGTCATCTCTACATGTTAGAGGACAGGAATCTCACAGTATCATAAGAATCTGTGTATTAAATGAGCAGGAAACCCAGCCTCGTAGAAGAGTTTGGTCCCTGGCGCTCCCATTTACAGTCTGCTGATCTCCTTTGCTTCAGTGTTCCACCAATGTCTTGTTTCCAACTTTATCATCAGAAGCATGAATAACAAGTTTTAAATTGTGTGTGATCTCAGAGGATCTCAAATCTGCTTACTCTTTTGATGAGCTCAGGGGCTGAGAATTATGCACCCAGCTAGTAAAGGGGAAAGCAGACATAATACCTTTTCCCCATCCTCTACAACTCTTTGTAGAACTAATTTTGGTGGAAAAATAGTTAGGACAGCAAGCCATTGAGAAATCATTTATATCAAAATGAAACATCTCACCACCCGAAACCCACATACACTTTTTTTTTAAAAAAGAAGCTACATCAGAGCTACTATATTTCATTCCTTTCCTTCTGAACAACTGAAATATCTTTCGATGGTATCATTAGCATGTCTTTGCTGTAGCAGAGTAAGAACAAAGTAGGCATTCTTAGCTACATAATAGAGTATGAATTCAGGGTATTAATGCTCATTAAACTGAAAAAAATTGAAAAGATTTCAGCCCCGTTTCTAATACCTTCTCTGCTTCAATAACCAAGTATTGATCGAATGCCCATTTTGCTGTCAGCACTATGAGGAGATACCAAAGATGAGTAATATGTCCTGCTCTCACACATTTAACTGGGGAAATAAGATAATGAATGTAAACAGAGAGTAAGATAAAGTTAACAGTTTTAAGATGGAAGTTGGAAATGCATAGGATTAAAATATCATCCTCACCTCTTTGACTTGTTTAATTTTGTGATTGCATTTAGGGAGCATTAAGAGGTGCTTCCTCCTGCTTTTTGTCTACTCCTTCATCATTCACTTCCATCCTTTTTGCAGTTTCCTAGCCAATGCAAAGCTTTATGATTCAGGACAAAAACAATGTTGGTATTTATCTCTAGTTTTCTCTTTATGGTTGTCTGATACCGTTGTGCCCTCAGTTTTCTTGTACACAACACTCTCTCAACTCTAAAAGAATTATTTCTTTATCCAGCCCTTGCAATGCTGCTTCTGTTCATTGCCTTTCCCCTCCTCACCTGTAACCAACCAAGTAACCAGTCCGCCTTAACCTCCCAGAGCTTTCTTTTTCAGTCCTCGTCTGGTAGCTCTTCATCGCCCTTTCCCTCTACAGCTGCAGGGACAGCAAACATCCTGACTCCCCACCTCACCGCCCCCCGTGGGCCCCCCATCAGTGCTCTCCCTGTGCCACTGCTGCTGCCGCCCTCATCACACCCCCTTCCTGCTTTCATCAGCTCTCTCTAATGTTTCTAAGGTCACAGTAATGTTTTCAGGGTCAAAAATCTCAGGAAGCCAAAAGAGGGCAAGCTCATTGCGTTTCCTATCCTTCTCTTTTCTACCACGTTTCTTCATAACACTAAATGGAGTGTCAATGAAACATAGAAATCATATCAAGGTAAGAAAAGCTCTACCACTGAAAATTAAAGATACCAGGAGAGCATGGCACCGCTTTCTCTAGTCTCTCTGGATAGCTGATCCGTTCACTCTGCTTGTGGATATGTAAGTGTCTTAAAAAAAAAAAAAAAAAAAGACAGCCTTTTGCCCTCCTGTACATTTCCATTTCCAAGTTTCATTTTCTCATGTAAATGTTTAAAGCAATACTAAAAGAAAAAGATTTTAATTAATGATTGGAAAGCTCAGTCTGTTTCTCATCATCTTCAAATAGGTTTTTTTAATGCAATGATCATAAAATGTATATACCCAAACAAAAGATCAATATTTTAAAATTTGTGATTAGGAACCATTCCTATGCTTATTCCTTTGAATCACATGCATAACATTTAGGTTTGGCTCTATTTATTCTTGTGTCTTTTCCTGGGGGGAAAAAAATCAGTGCAACGAGGGAAAGTGTGGAAAAAATCCTAACCAGAGCTGTTTAAACTGAGTCCTTTGACATTTTCCCTAGCCTATAGTGATCTCATGGTGTCCTTCCTTACAACCATGTCTAAAGCTAAAGAGATTTTTGCATTCACTTTCAAAACTGGGTTGCAGTCGCCAAATAAAAAGACACCCCTCCACCCACAAGCCTGAGCTGTACAGAGCTACAGAATGTTTGTTCTGTCAAGGCTGTCAAGAAACATTTGGATTCCAGTCACCAGTCCCCTACAAATGATGGAAATTTATCAAATGATGGAAATGCTGCTGTGCCTCATTTGACTCATAATTAGATTATGCTGACATTTTAATATGCATGCACAGGACATCTTAATAAAGATGTATTCCTGAAAAAATATTGCTGTGATTTTAAACAAATGAAGATGATCATAGGATACTAGAGCCACATGAAACAGAACATGACAGGTACACGCTGTGATAGGAAATACCTCCTATCTTCATGAGATCTCAAGATGAGCTGGGAATGGAGCAGGACAGAGAAAGGAAGATTCTCCCACCCAGCAGGCTAGCAGCGCCTCTGATTTCAGAACATTAGGCACAGTGCCCAGAGGTGGCAACTCCAGGATCCGTACCATCAATAAGAATATATGAAACACTCACTATGTGTCTAGAACTCTGCAGGGCACTCCACAAGAGAAGTTACGAGAAATAACCTCTACTCATTAGAAGCTTACAGTGAAGTTGAGGACACAAACAAACAAACAAACACATAGGAAAACGATTTCTGAACAAGGCCCCATTACACAACACAGCAAAAATATCAATATTTTAATGTGTGAAATTGTGCAGTAAAAATAACTACATACTGAGAGTTTCTCAACTTCCATGTGAAAACTGATGTTCAATCAAGACAATGTTATGTGTTAAGTACCTTTGCATTATCAAAATCTCATTAATCCTTGCTGGAGAACTCTGTGCAAAACAAAAGAAAAAAAAGAATTTTTCCCCACTTACTTAATTCCATATAAGCTTAAACTTACATGTATAAAAGTATAACTCTGCCCAAAAAGTCCCTAAAAACGTTTTAATCAGTGGACCTTCTGGATCTTCATATTAATTATTTAAACATTGACCCTCAGTCATTACTGCCAGTTCCCAGAAAAGATCAAAAATCTCCCCAACTTCTCTCTCTACCAAAGACTTTTAGACAAACGTGACTATTCTGTGTGTGATAATAGTCTCTATTGATAATAGACTTCTTGATGTCCCTACTACTTGCAATTTTAAAAATTGAAAACAAAAGAAAATACCTTTGCATAGTGGGACAAGCCATGCTATTTTTCACTTGTCTTTTCTCTGTCTTTTTCCCAAGAACCTCATAAAGGAAGGCCTTGAATTTGTTTTACAGTCACAGTAGGAATGACTTGAACGTTCTGGTTTGTATGCTAGCATTCCTAATGCTGAACTACATATGCCATTTCTAACGTTGGAGAAAAGTAGTTCTAAAGGCCCTTAGTGTTTTCTCCCCTGCATCTCCTCCTCCCTTCTTTCTCTCTGGGTGACTGCATCCTTGCATCCAACACGTATTTCTGATATGATAGGAAACCTTCTATTACTGGCCTAGTTACTTATAAGACTATCTAGGGTGACTACACATGGAAGTTTCCTGAACAATCCCTGTCTGTGCTGTCCTGGCATGATTATCAATAGTTCACTTTTCACCACCCTAGACTGTCCTCATTTGAATGATAAATTATCAAGTTTTCCCTTTTTATATCATCTATTCAAGGAATAATCATCATTACTGTTCAAGAAAAGCATATATCTAAATGTACACACCATGAATAAAAAGCGTAATACCTACTCAGATAAATAATTTTTTCAAGCTAATTTATTTGGCTGATACAATGTTTGCCTATACATATTTTATCCCTAACTTGAAGTAAAGGCTTATTAGTGACTGTGTTGGTAGCCAAACGCCCAGTAAACTCCTTCCATACCCAGAAAGTTAGACATATGTACAAATCTAGTGCATGGCAAATGAAGTAGAAAAAAAATAGGTAGTAAGGTTTTGCACATTTAAGTGCTATGCCGTGGAGTCCTCTTTCTTAATACAGAAAATAAGTCAGGTTCAACATCACGATAATCACTGAACTGAAAGGGGGTTAATCTCATCTGTCTCCTTCTTCTGGGAAAGATTATACTTAAATAACTACAGCTAGATACTGGTACTGAAAAGAGGAACTGTGATAGGCAAGGCAGTATAAAGTGCTTCCCAAAGAAAATGAATGTTGCTCACTTTGGAATCTTACGAAATTAAGTCTTGATCACTCTGATGGGTCTGTTGATATAGGAGAGAGGGCCTTGTCCTGTTGCTTCACTTTTCTTTAAGCCAGTCTTACTCTAAAGGTTTGTCTTCTCATTCAGCTCATGGGGACACTTCTTGGGCCTGTTGCACACTGCAGCCTTGAAAGCTAGAACAATAAGCAGATGCAACCAGGAATGGAAAAGAAACATTCTTATTTCCAGAAACTCTTCCCTCAGGGTTCTGTCTCTTGGTTTAAACCCAAGTTGAATTATGACTGAAGTTGTTCAAACTTTTTTCTCTTGGCATTGAACTTTGGTTATCATAAGTAAACAATTTATGAGGTACAACATGTCCACACTGCTTTGTGGTAAGATATCACTCAAATGTAGAATCATAAAAATGTCAAAGATCCATATGGTGTAATGTGCCTTATGGTATAACCTCTTTAGAACAGAAATTTCTCTGAAATGTCTTCAAAAGAGCTCACACAATCAATTTTCCTTTTCAGAATTAGAATAATAAGCGCTGAGTGTCATAGCAAAGGTAGCAATCAAAAATGATCACAGGCCAGTTCAAGAGTATAACAGAGAAGCAAACTGTTTTTTAGTACTGTATCTGAAATGAAATTATAATTTGTGGCAGATAAAAAATGGACAGTTATGTTTTTCACATCTATGGCTATTATCCTGCAGTTTCATTGTTCATTGATTATTGAATTCTTTCATTGTTCAGGATTGTAATACACATGTAATTCATGGCTGATCACAAATGGGTGGTTGTATTTCTAAACTATCAGGTTTTCTACTGCTCTTTCCTTGTTATTAGTGAGCAAAAGTTGCAGTTTGTACTGTCTCACAGCCTAACAGCAGAGCCACTTGAAAGGATGGGGTACTGTAATAGCATTATTCATCGCAGAACACCGCTTGAATCTCTAAATGAAAAGTGATGGGGGAAGCCACATCACATATGGTAGTATCTCTCTAGGGTGCTCGAAACTAGAGCTCTGAAGCCTGTGAAAATCTTTCAGCTCAAGCTTTCCTGACTCCAAGTCTCCTTTTCCTATGTAATTAAATACCCAATTGAGCCAAGCTGGAAATATGAAAAAGTTTCAGAAAGGTTTAAATAAATTCATGGATGCCATAGCTACAGGCAGCTATTATGTGATCATAAAAGGCCACCGTGCCTTCCCAGAGAACACCCTCACATGTGAACACTGTGCTAGATCAAGCCCCGGCCTGATTTGCTCAAACACTGCTGATGTCCAATGGCGTTAGATAAAGTACCCCCCACGTATGTTCTCTGGAACACAATCTTACTTTAGTGAAATATTAAAATAAGATAAGTAAATGTTAAAACACTTTTACCAGTGACTCTAGCGTTAGAAAAATAAAAGGATAGAAAAAGATGTAATAATGTTTTCATTTTAAATGTCCTCAATTATACTGAGAGATTAATTTTCTGCACCCTTTTCTCATGGGAAAAGCATTATTGTTATCCTTAGTATAATGTATGTTATGATTTGATCTGTGAAAAAATTTGCCTTTTAGCTGGAGTTTCTAATATATCACATTGTGCATTACTTTGCATATAATATATTAATATGAAGATCAGTAAATCCAGTTAAGCTGTGTCTGCCATTTTAATATGTAGATTTTAATTAACTTGGAAATCTAATTTTAAAAAGGTATCCTCAGATAGCTTTCTAAGTAGCTGTGGTAGCGTTTATATTTCCAACAGGTTCCTTCTGAAACAGGAAATTACCATGGTGTGAGCTAAGTAATATAGAGATAGTAAAATAAAAGTTGTGGTAGGACACATATTTTCCCCATGTATTTTAGAAATTAGATCCAATCCTAGAGCTTATAAATTTATTTCATTCAGTAATTTAAAACTAAAAGATCTTGGAATTAAGGGATAAAGGCAGGGGGAGGAGTAAAAAGTAAACTCTAAAAATCAGCTCTTGATTGAAAGTTATTTAATATATCAAAGCATTTTGTTGGTTGCACAAGTTGACAACCCAATGTATATTCATGAATAAATGTGAGACCGTCAGGGCTGCAGAGTTTAAGTGCTAGATGGCAAGTCGGTCCTCGTGAGAATATAACATAAAATGTCAGTTTTATAGCTAATGGAAGTGTTTTAAAGGTAGCAGTCTTCCATCCCTGATACAGACAAAAGGACATTTCTCAAGTCATAATCCTAAGCAGCCACACCAAACATGAAGGTTCTTAAAAAATAACAATGCTGTGTATGATGATCCCCTTCCTGTGTCCAAATGATCTCCTATTGTGGGGGGAGGGGAGGGATAGCATTAGGAGATATACCTAATGTAAATGACGAGTTAATGGGTGCAGCACACCAACATGGCACAGGTACACATATGTAACAAACCTGCACGTTGTGCACATGTACCCTAGAACTTAAAGTATAATAAAAAATAAAAAATAAATAAAAAATAAAAATAAAAAAATAGCAATTCTGCCAGAAAGCTAAACACAGCTTACCTGGGAGGAATGATTGTTATGCCTTCCATGAGCCAACTGGCTCTTTATTTGAAACAAAGCTCAATGAGAAAGCAACCAGACTTTGGTCTTATTTTAATTTTTAAAGTTTAAGGAAAAAATACTCATTTTTTTATAGTGCTTTATGTGGTACAACTGTCTTATAAAATTATGTCATCTTAACACATTCAGAATGGAGGAGTTCTATTGGACTAGATTCTTACTCTCTGCCTTTCAAAACTGTAAGTTGCCTCCTCTATAAATGCTCTTAAGGAATAATCACATATGATTGATGATTATATATCATAAATATATAATTTTATAGACCAAAATAATAATAATGATATGAAATTTCTTCCAAGCAACAAGTAGTTTACATATTGAAGTCTCAAAGTGTGGGAGGAGTGGTTCTTGCAAGAACATTTTACAGTTGTTCTACCTACAACGTGAATTTATGTTTTAGAGAGGTTTAGTAATGTTTAATTAATTTTTATCTGTAATTCCTGACATGATTCAAAAGCAAAACAATGTGGTAAACTTAACATGAAATTCATCATAGAGGCAAAAATATCCTGCCATTCTCTCAGATAGAAGTAACTCAGCATATCTTAATGTAGATCTTTAGCTTCTTAAGTATTTCTTGACCAGAGGTTTGCATACATGTGTCTTCTGCCCATCTCATATTAAACCCAGTTGTATGGTTTAGGAAATTCTCTACTGACAGAACCATGAAGGAACAGGAAGAATATCTGGAGATGTTAGGAAAAAAATGTATAGCATGGTCAGAAAAGAGTGTATTATTAATTCATAATAATATTAAAATGAAACAAGAAAGAGTTTTATTGGATAATGCATTCTAATTAAGTTTAAAACTTAGATATAATACGTTTGTTTTCTAAAAAGGTTCTTGAAGAGTTTCCTGTGAGATAGTATAGAATACCTTATGCAAGTCACTCAGTATTTTGGATCTTCACCATCTGTGAAATGAAAGGTGCCTTGCCTCTCTGTCACTATGATATTAAGACCAGGGATTTAGAAGGCAGATTGAAAATCAAGGGACAATTTAATTATGTTCTTCTTCACGTTTAGCAGTCCCAGATAAAGACATGGTGAAAGTCTGCATTTCTCAAACACACAGTAAGGAGTTGCACATCTCAGCCATGTAGAGTAGGAGGAAGCATGTCAATTGGAGCCTTGCCTACCCCTGAAAAATGTTCATGCATGACAGCAACATGTCTCCAAATACTTCCAGAACACAGTGTGCAACCAGGTTGTTCTAGGTTCTAGAATTCTAAATGTGGGCTATGCCTACATTTTAAAGGTGTTTTATACTCACTTTTTTGAATTTTTATGCTATTAGAAGTAGCATAGATTATATCATAATTCTTATAAAGGATCTCTATTACTAAAATAAACCAATTTAACTCAACTACTTATACATAATTTCAACTGCCCAGATAATTGGAAATATCAAAATATTTGGACTAGTGTAATTATTGACTGGATTTTCCACTTTTCATTTCAACATTTTATGACACAAAATTATAACCTAATTTTTAAGGACCTATATTTTCTGTATATATTTCAGGTTCTAGATTGGCTTTACTTTCAAATAAGTATTCTTATAATGAGAATCAAAACTTAATATTTAGAAATGGTAATCTTATTCTACCCTGATTTAAAAAAAAATTCAGATTTTTCTATTTTGGATGCATGTAAAAGAAACATATTTACATACATGCTCATACATAAAGCAGGGTAAATCTGTCCACTAACTTGGATCTTAGAGGAAAAAAAATTATTAAACATAAGTATAAGATTGTGTTTGGGGGAGTTATGATAGCAACAAAAAAGAAAGTAAAGATGAATTTTAAAATGCCATAAATGAATTTCAACTTTAATTCCCCATTTTCCCATCCAGAACAAGTGCCACCCAGGACCAGTTTTCGAATGGATTCCTCCGGCAAGTATTGTTCAGTACTCACAGTTCTGTGAACAAAACGTCTTCCATTTTGTGTAACAAATCATTCTTCTGAGTAGTATCAGTTTCTTAGTATATAATCACTGTGCTACTTTAGTCACCTACATAAAACATGTATTCAAGGTAGACAGCAAGTCTCATCATGGTGAGCCTAAATGCCTGCCAACAAAAGACAAAGGGAAACAGTCATATTCATGAATTTCTTTCATTAAATACTCTAGTAAAAGGCTGGATGAAAAACAGCTGCCAAAGAGAGCCATCAGACTGACTAGGTCTGTGCTATGTAATACAGTAGCCACTAGCTACATGTGGCTATTGGGTACTTGAAATTGGCTACTGTAAATTTAGATATGCTGTCATATAGGTGTAAAATCCACACTGGATTTCACAGACAGTGCCCAAACAAAAAAGAAAGATTTCATTAATTATTTTATATTGATTTCTGTTGAAATAATATTTTGGATATACTAAGTTAAACAAGATATATTATAAAAATTGATTTCATCTGTTTTGTTTTCTAAAATGTGCCTACTAGAAAATGTTAAATTACTTATGTGGCTTACATTTTATTTTACATTGAATAACACTAGACTAGATACAAATAAGAAGATAGAAGGTCTCAAGAGATTTACAATTCAGACATTTCCAAAGAATGGATTAGAAATGTTGCTAACATAGAATGAAATTCTTTTCAAATCAAGTAAATATCTATATCAACTTAATTTTTTTTAACCATGCCAATTATAAAATACTATATTTCAGTAAGATTTTAAGTTAGGCTAAAATATCATATTTTAATTTTAAGAGCTTTCAGTAATAACCAATTAGTTTGCTTAAAAAGAAAAATTTTTTTTTTTTTTTACTTAACCATTTGGAAAACACCAATTTTAGTTTAGGTTAAAATATTTAACATTATTGTACAAATGCTGGAGGAAAAAGAAGATTTAATTTTTTTTGCTCTTAGAATTCATGATGAAAATGCTTTAAACAGCTAATCAGACCACCAGATTGAAAGCCAGAATACTCAAACAATTGCGGAAAATAGTGTTTTATAATAGTAGCACTATTTCAGGGCTGTGGGCTCACAGCACACATCTCCAGAGTGTTTCCATGATGACAGATCATTATCCATCTCAGCATGTTCTAACACCCCTTGGAGAATATATGTGCCTGAGATCATTTCATTCTGTAAGTTTCCATGTCATTTTTGGGGGGATATGTAGAAAATATGGAAGATATTATTTCGTATTTTCTCCTAAAATAACGCCTAAAGTATTTGTTTAGCTTGGTCTAAAAATTTTAAAGCATGATTATTCCTCTATACTGACGGTTAAATCTTTGTAATTTTTTAAAAAGATTATCTTATGCCCAGAGAGAAAATGAGACCTAGTAATTACAGTTGCAAGATGAAATTAAGATTTAATTTGGAATTTTAAATCTCAGCTTACTGGTCACAAAAAAGCACATGTCTTAAAAATCTCAGATTCTGAATATACTTCATTTAAAAACAGGAGAAGGAGAGTGGCCCAGTAGTTTAGATTACTTTGACATATATGCAAAGTAACAGTTTACCTTTTTAAAAAATTACCTTTTTAAAAAATACATTACTTAGAAGACAAAAGTTATAATATAGTTGGGGTATATTATGTTACTGTACAATTCAGATTTTGAAGAAAAGAACCAATCCAAATAGTTGGTTGAATGTCCACACAAGTTATCAGAATATTCTGGAAAATCATGACTGCATTTAAAATAAATAGATCTTGCTTGGCGCTGTGGCTCATGCCTGTAATCCCAGCATTTGGGAAGCCAGGGTGGGAAAATAGCTTGAGCCGAGGAGTTCAAAACCAACCTAGACAAGATGGCAAGACCTCCATCTCTACAAAAAATTTAAAGAGTTAGCTGGGCGCTGTGGCGTGCCTGTAGTCCCAGCTACTTGGGAGACCGAGACAAGACAAGAAAATGGCTTGAATCCAGGAATCTGAGTAGTGAGCTGTGATCACACCACCACACTCTAGCTTGGGCAACAAAGCAAGACCTCATCTCTAATAAAAAATACAAAAATGGCCGGGCACGGTGGCGCATGCCTGTAATCCCAGCACTTTGGGAGGCCGAGTCTGGCAGATCACGAGGTCAACAGATCGAGACCATCCTGGCCAACGTGGTGAATCCCCGTCTCTACTAAAAATACAAAAATTAGCCGGGCATGGTGACGGGCGCCTGTAGTCCCAGCTACTCGGGAGGCTGAGGCAGGAGAATCACTTGAACCTGGAAGGCGGAGGTTGCAGTGAGCCAAGATCACACCACTACACTCCAGCCTGGTGACAGAGCGAGACTCCATCTCAAAAAAATAATAATAATAAGATAAAATAAGTAGATGCCGCATACTTTTTGTCACATTTATAAAATGTCTCATCAAATTATGTGTCATGATTTTGACTCAGATACATTTATCATAATTATAAGGTATATTATTAACTTTATCTGCATAAGATCCTTAGGTACAGAGGCAAAATTGATAATAGAAAGTTCTAAATAATATGTATTTATGAAACTAGGTGATAACTCCATAGTGGAATAATGCTGTGGTGCATTGGGTCTAGGAGACTGGTGAGTATCTTAAGGCAATTAAATTCAGGAAATGTTTATTTAGCAACTCCTACGGACTGTGCATAATGGAACACTATAGACAACCAATGGTAATTATGCCATCAACTAAGGAGAATATTAGTGAGAAACAATGGAATCTATGGCCAGGAACTTTGAATGGGCAACTCCACCCAAAAATAAGAGAGCCAGGAAATGGGGTGTTACAGAAACGACTTAGGATCAAAAGAAATCTGAAGTCATAAACACTGCATCAACAATATCAAATGAGGCACTGAAATCAATCAGTATGAGGAAAGAAAAAAAGGCCATTTAATTTGGTCATTAGCATGCATAGTGACCTTAAAAAGTGCAGTAGTGCTAAGAGAGAGCATAAACCAGACTGGCAGGAATGAATCAGAGGTAGAGTGAAGGCTCCACTAGAGACTACTTTTCCTAGAAAGAGATGGAAGGAGGGAGCAAAGTCATATTTAGGATGGAAAAAACCTGAACTTATGTGAAGGCTGAGGAGAGAACCAAATAGAAACTGGAAAATGGCTTCTACTATGGCTAACACATGCTTGGTCACATTCACATACCCACAGGGATAAAGCAAACAAGTAAAGAGAAGGGATATTTTAAAGGATAGAGTATTAGCTGCTTACTAGGTAATGTTAGATTTGAGCAACAGAAACTATATAATTCCTGTTTAACTCATTCTATATCTGGAGTGCATAGAAATCCAGAAGTCAAGACCATGTTTAATAACCTTTTTTGATTCCTAGTATCTTCCTCGTGCTAACTTTCCTAAATCTCTTTACAAGGAAAAGCCAAAAAGAGTGATTCTCTTTCCAGCAGGAAAAATTGAATAAATGTATCCTCTGTGCCAAACTGTGATGATACGCTATGGTACTTATGTTTTAATTAAAACATGAAAGGGGATTCAAGTACCAAAATTTAATTGACGTGTTTACAGCAGCATCCCATGTGCCAAATTAATTCATAAAATTGTTGTTCTTTGCGTTTTTGAAGATTGAATCCATTCATAAAATTAATCAGTTGTGTTCAGTTACCCAGCCTTTTCCCTAACTGTGCACAAAGCTACGTAAAGCAAGACTAAGGAAACATACAGCATGTGAAGCCCCTGGAGTCTTCATGTGAAATAGAAATCAGCTTTTGAAATCTGCTTTTCTTTATTATGAGAGAGGTTGTCCTGATATCTGGATGTGCTCACCATTTGCTACTTTTTAAAGTTCGTTTTTGCAATATTGGTATGAGCCTAGAATAAACTAAGACTTGCAAATTTCATTTCAGTAACTTGCCACAGTGGTCATGTAAAATTCCATCTAGGAAGAGGATCATGAGATGCTTTGTTCCATAGTGCCTGAGGATCCGAGGACCCAACTTCTAAGAAGCAACACTAGCCACAGCTGGCCATTGAACACTAATATCCAAAGAATGCTTTGTCTCCTCTTAGTCCATTTCTTTACAACCACTGCCTCCTCTTGAGCTGCATTAAGCGAGACCTGAGAGTGTCCCTGACAGTTCTGCAAAAAGTGCTGAGGAAAAAGAAGATTTTTTTTAAAAAGAGCACAGAAAAAATAAACAAGGGAACAGAAGAGTAAAAGGGGCACAGTTGAACAACATGCAAAGCAACTCAGGTCCAAATAGGTATCTACCAGATACCCTCATCTAACAACCTCTCTGGTGCATAGTTTCTTGAAACAAGAGAAAGGAATAGTGATTGTTAACTCTGTTGCAGTGAGGTAAAGAGTTGGCCCTTGGATTTCTTCACTTGAAGTTCTTGCATTAATAAGGAAAGAGATAAAACATGATACAGTAATTGCAGTAATTGAAACATGTCATCCAGCCAGAAGAGCAGCTAGGGGAAACTCAGAAACATTACAATCTGCCTGGAGAGCTAACAAAGCGGGAAGGAAAAAGAATGATGTCTCCCAGCTTTGTACATATAATTTTAGTTATTTTGTAAAGCCAGACTCCAAGAAAACAAAGAAACCAAAGAAAAATTAGCTTTCTAAAATGTTCTTATTTTCCCTAAAAAAAAAAAAAAAAAAAAAAAACTGCTGCCTCAAGGCACAATCTATCATATGAACTTTTTTTCCAGTTAACCATTTCTCTAAAATGTCCAGACCCTGCAGCCTCTGAATCTGTGTTCAAAATTAACAAAGAAATAAAAAATAAATCACGTTTGCCAACATTCTCTAAGGGGTCTCTCTTTGCCTCTCTCTACCTGCTCATGAACCATGAAGCTGGCCACCCCTGCTGGGAAGAATGGAAGAGTGTAGATGAAATAAATGGCTGGCACATACCACCCTATATTTGAAATCAGGGTGGGTCAGAGCAACAGGATCGTAATTGTCACCAAAATGTGCATAAAGAGCAGGAAGAGGAGAATAAATGCCTCGTTCGTGTCTCTGTTCTTCAGAGTTAAATAACATTTACTTGCTAAAATCTAGGTTTTTCTCCTAAAAAGAAGTCATGAGTTATTCATTAAAGAAAAGCCCCTTAATTCCTCCAGGAATCACAGATTCTCTGACAAAAGACAAACTTCTTGTGCCTTGACACCTCTCAAAGTTCCATTCCTGGGATTGTCATAATTTCAGCATTTCTTTAGGGGAAAAGTTTTACTTAGCAAATAAGATGGATCACACAATAAGGTTCTTGTAAAGCTCCTTGTGCAATATGGATGGGTGCTGAAGTCACTGGAAGAACAATTTCCCACTTAGCATACTCAGTGGTGATGCAAAAATGAGAAGAATACAGGAGATGAGAAGTTCCAGTTAAACATGCTGACTCTATCATTTTAAGTGTCACAAATACAGCACCTTCTATTTGTATTTTTAATGTGTATGTGGTCTAGAGTTCCTCCAAGTTTAAAGTGACTTACAGAAGAGATTGCCATGAACAGTCGTATTATCATCAACTTGTAGAAGTTTGAACAGTGATTGAGCAATATGCGTCATCTCCCATTTCCCCTTGTCTTTCTCCTTCCCTTGGGGGGAGTACAGGTACCTGCTATGATTTTGTAGAGCTCTACTCCATCTGCCTCCAGACTCCCAAAGCCTTACCACACACCCCTATACGTGATTTCATATATGATATGGAGACTTCAGAAGAAACTGAGTTCAAAAGCCAATTGTGTCTCGTAGAGTGTAAGGCAAAGTTTTCATCTTCCCTCTGCCACCACTCTATTTAATAGGAATAGAATTTTTAAAGTTCTCACATCTTTAAAATATGATTGATTATATAATTTCTAAAGGATGTGGAGGTCTAATTGCTTATTCTTCTTGCAGAATTTCATATTATTCATTGAATGGAAAAGATCTTGGTCATGTGTGCATTTGGTCATAAAAGGGTGTGAATGCTCATTGAATCTTGTACAATGCATACAAACATATGTACTTATGTGCCTGATTCACCTTTATTTAAGAGAGCACCAGACAAATAATTGGCATTTGCCCACATCTCAGAAGTGAATGATGCCTTTCATGTGTCCCTGGGAATAGCCCAGGTTGTTGGCACCAAGGCAAGCCTGTATAATTGTGCGTTGTACGCTGTATCACTCCAGCAGTCCCACCTACTGCAGAACCTGGAAAATATCTGCCTGGCCAGCAGTCAATGAGCCTCTCTCTACAACGAGTGCTACTATATAATCATGGGCTCAGACGTAGATTTTTGTCCAATTCTCTGAAATCTCGTCTTAATTTCTACAACTATCCTGTTTAAGCAAGGGGAATTTTACTTAATACCTGCTTCTACAGTTCTAATACCTCCTTTAAACCATTAAGGCCTAGAAATCGCTAAACATTTCTTAAGCAAGGGATGGCATAAAAAATAGTTCTTGAAACCGTTGATCATCTGCTGGCATCCCAGCAGTGGACACGAAAGTATGCACAGCTCGGTCATGACTGAAGTTTTTCCCCCGATGAAGGTGCCAAGGGGCAAGGGGATGGGCTAAGCACAAATCAGATTCTACTTAAAAAGTCAAAACATTTTTATATTTAATAGTTTTAGTTTATTCTAAGGCTGAAAAAAATGACATTCAGGAGAGTTTTTCAGCTTATTTTGAAATACATCTCTGTTCTTTCAGCTGACTTCAGAAAAGTATCTTCTTATTTATTTTGAGTACTCTCATGAAGTCAAAAGTCAATCTATGGCTTGCACATTCTAAAATGTTTCGGGGATAAAAGTCCATCTTAGACCCAGATGAATTTCTACCTGTAAGTTATAAAAACCCTAAAGGAGTTTGTCAGAAAATAAATGCTTCACTTGAACCCCAATACAAGAAAGTTTAAATTCTGTATCTTTTAATTTTTACAATTTTAAAAGAGACAACTTCTATTGGGCATATGTTTATACTACACACACACACACATACTCCTAAACTGGATGCATCATGTCATAAACAGATATTAATAAATTACTAGGCAGTGCTTTATTAGACAGTTCCAGGGTTTTGCCATCTGTTCTCTCTTACTTGCGTAATAATTGTTCTAATCAGAGTAAACATCCTGAAAGTGATAGTCAAGCTTCTTGAGGGCAATCCGAATGCTCTCAGGGAAATCAAGAATTATAAAGGCATCAATTTTCTTACTCAGAAAATTCGTGTATTCTTTCTGCTTCTGGTAATACCCCAGTAGTGCCCTTGGCTGGTCACTATTATTCCAGGGACTACCTAAATTTGGAATACCTACTTTTTTGCTACCATATTTTTTGTATCCTCTGTGGTTTCCATTGACCCTAACAGCACTCTCATTAATCACATCCACAAAATTAATTTATCATTGGTATGTTCAGTTCCTCAGGGGCTGGGAAAGAGGCAGGATTCATTACTCATTGGGATCTCCTTTATGCCAGGTCCAGATTATAAGGAATTGGATGTTCACCTTCGGAGGATGGAGTCTGGATTTGGCTTCAGAATCCTCGGGGGAGATGAGCCTGGACAGCCTGTAAGTTGAATCTTCTTTATTTCCATGCTGGGGGCTGTATTGTATGAGTAAACACCAGGGAAAATAGTGTTTAGTGTGATATCTAAAAGGAAATGTTTTAGGACTCTCATAAAGAAGTTTAAGCTTTGGGTTTTTTTATTTTTTTCCTTGCTGTTGTCTTTAAAAAGATCTCACGACATGCAGGTATCTCCATGATAAATATCTCATTAGAAATCACATTCAATAGGGACATTGCTCTTTTTTAGAATGGATTGAATTCCTCTTGAATATTTGCATTATCTAATTGCACTGAACCCCTGGTATCTTTGGGTAGCAGTTCATGAGTAATGGTAACACCCAACTGGGAAGAGCAGAATTATGTATGTTTTTAACCAAAACAGCAAAGGAGATAAAACACAGGGATAAACAGAAATAAAATCAAGCTCAGCACTGCAGAATCTCAGCCAGATTTGAATTAAGGGATTACCAGAAGATGTTCATAAAGTCAACTTCATTGGCATAATATATATTGGGAAATTTAGAAGGGCTTTGTAGAACATATGTGTGTGTGTGTGTGTGTGTGTATTCGGAGTAAAAACATAAAATACTAGTAGTCACTAATACACAGAAAACACAGCGAGGCTAGATCTATGAGCATAAAATATCAGCTATAAAACACTTATTGTAAAAGATATATCTTAAATGGTACCCAATGTGACTAAGTCAGGTCCATGAAAGTTTTGAATAAGTGAAGGGCCTGAGCAGTGCAGTCAGCTATCTACATCCCATCTGGCTCTGGCACCTGAGCTCCATCCTAGCTCATGTAAGGGAGTTAAATTTTAAGCCTCAGCTTTCTCATCTGCAAGATGGGGATAACAGTAGTGCTCTATTATAGAGCAGCTTTAAGGATCAAAGGAGATTTTATATATATATATATATATATATATATATATGTATATGTAAAGGTCTTGGCATTATGTCTGGATCATATTAAGTGCTGAATAAATGTTTATCATTATCAACTTTGTTTCTCTGGTTACTAGATTCTCCCAGGAAATATACTCTCTCTGTCTCTCTCTCTCTCTCTCTCTGTCTCTCTCTCCATATGTGTGTGTGTATATATATATATATATGGTTTTTAAATATACTATATGTACTATAAATATTATATACGTGTGGTTTTCTTGAGACAGAGTCTCGCTCTGTCACCCAGGCTGGGGTGCAGTAGTGTGATCACAGTTCACTGCAGTCTCAACTTCCTGGGCTCAATCAATCCTCCCGCTCAGCCTCCTAAGTAGCTAGGACTATAGGCATGTGTCATCAGGCCTGGCCCCAGAAAATAAAATTTGAAATAAAAATAAAACCTGGTCAGAAATCTTCAGGAGAAAAAAGTTAATCTAGTAAATGAAAGGAATCTGAAACAGTTTAAACTGTCTCAGAGTAAAGTAGATTGTCCTGGGTGAAGAGTGGGCTCCTTCCCACAAGAGGTATTCAAGCAAGCAATGGCAACCTGGCAGGAACTCCGAGGAGCTTCCTCTGCCCTGCGGGAGGAGTTGAACTGGATGATTGATGAGGTCCCTTTCTACAGAAAACTCCAGGAAGCCGAGCTTATACTCCAAGGATGAGGGCTCTCCGGGAAAAAAGACTTATTTCCGAATTCCTGGGGATGAAATTTGGCAACAGTCAACCAGAACGTCACTAACTCCCCAGCTGCCAAAGAAGACATGAAGGTCCTTTTGCCAAGGAGGATTGGCCAGATTTTTCATAGTGCTTTGAGAGGAGGTAGAATGCTGAAGTAAAATACAGGGCTCGAGTAACTTCAAACTTAAATTTATTCAGAGACTAAATTAAGAATCTCATGTCACAGGGAAAAGGAACTCTTGGCTGTGTTTCACTCCCATCCACTGCTTTGTTTACTCTCCCCTATCTCCCACTGAGATTACCAGGGATCCTAGGCCACCAAGTCAGCCCTCCAGCCTTCCTGCCCTCTATAACTCACCTTGTTTTATAATAGAGAGAACTAAAAACATTCTCAAGTCCCTTCATATCTGTAAGCATTTAGCGCACTGATTTATGCTACAGAACCTCCTGACCTCCACAGCGTATTTATACAGCTTGGCGTCCTTCAGGATTGTTCATGTATCTGCCTATTTTGTTTATTCAGCAGGATTTTAAATTTCTCCTAAGCAAGGACTTTGTCTTACCCTTTTTATCCAACATGAGTGCCCCATAATTGAAAAATGTGTCATTATCCAGAGTGAGCCACACTCGAGGTTAAGGTCACAGTCTTCAGACTGCCACCTCTCCCCAAGACTCCTGGCATCAGCTGAAATAAGTTTGCAAAGTGTCAGAGTCTAAGGAAACAGTCTCCATAGACCACCCCAACTTTAAACACTAGCTCTGAATCTGGGGGCCCCATCATGTAGTAGGTTCGCCGTGCACTGGTTGCCAACTTGTCTGCGTCTGTTGAGACAGAACACCCACCCACACGCCAGGCTACATGAAGTAGATTTATCACTTACAGGGAGGCAGCGAGGGACAATAGAAGGCAAGGATTCAAGAAGAGCAAGTTCCCCGAGGCTCAGGAAAGCTGCCTAGGACAGATGGAGTCTCCACTCACACTTGCACCTCAGCTGAGGGGCCCCAAAAAGCAGCCCAGTGTGGGGTTTCTACCCTAGAGAAGCATATCACAGTGGACTCAAGCACTGAAGGACATCCTGTTTCTAGGGGGGACTGGAACAGAACGCAGGCTGTTCCGGCTAGCCCCTCTTTACCTCAAGATGTTGTGTTCCTAGCACCTTGTATAGTTACTCTTGAGAACTACAAGAGAAAATGGGGAAAAATTTGGGTGAGTCCAAGGCCACCCAGAGAACTGTCCTGTGCTCACAGCTTTCCTCGGGTCCAGTAATTCACTAGAATAACTCAGAACTCAAGAAAGTGCTGTATTTATGATTACTGTTTGATTGTAGTGAAAGCATAAAAATTAGAACCAGCCAAAAGAAGAGGTGCACAAGATAAAGTCTGGAAGGGTTCCAAATGTGACACTTCCATCACCCTTAGGGACATGGTACCCTCCAGCATTCATGCAGAGAGGATTGCCAGCCGGGGATGTTCACCCAAGCTTTGGTGTCCAGGATTTTTAGCCTAGTGTTTTGTTACATGGGCGTGATTGATTGAATCATTGCCCACAAGGATGACCTCAGTCTTGGGCCCCCTTTCTTCCCCAGAGGCCAGGCTGATATCATGTGGCTCAAAGGCGCAACCCACTAATTACCTCGCTGGTCTTTCTGGTATGGTCAGCTCCTACTCTAAGACTGTTGGTGTGGCTGGCCCCATCCTGAGTCATCTTAGCATAAACCATCAGGTATGGTCAAAGGGGCTCACCATGAATGACAAAGACGCTCCTAATTCCAAGAGTTTTGAGGTTTCCTTTCAGGAACCAGGGAGAATGGCCAGACTTCGCTTTGGGCTGAGACCAAATTATTTATGGCAAAGCCATGTGCTTAAAAGATATCAAATGAATGAAACAAAATGAAACCATGCTCAAAATAAAATACAAATAAAATTAAGGCCATTTTTGTATCATTCTGTGGGACACTGAGCACTAGCTGAAATAAATACAGGGCATTTAAGGGTAAACCCATCTAGAATCCATTGCACTTATACTAACATAATACTTCAAACTTACCAACCTAAGGGGTTTCCACCAGAAAGATGAGCTCTCTGCTTGTTCCAGAATAGACTGACTCACATGCTTTTTTTCCCCCTTTTACTAATCTCTGAGCTCCTTGAAGGCAAGGACTGTAATTTAATGGTGTTTATGTCTTCCAAGCCTAGCCTGGTACAATAAGTATTTATTAAATGGAATCGAAGAGAGTATTTTTTTACCAAGTCCAAACTGTCACCTGAGCTTCTCAGAACAAGTAAGGATCTGGAGTTTATATTTTCTGAGGCCTCTAAATTCTACAGGCTCTGCAGAATTAAAGTGGCCTAGTCCTGGAAACAGAGATAGCATCCTGGCGGCCCTACAGCATGTTTTGTTTAGTCCCCCCAGTATTTTACAATTGTTGAGCATCAATTAATTTCACCTTTTGAAAAATGGATTTTCATCTTCTCTTGAAAATTAAATTTAGCAACATCGAGCTTGCCTTTCTCCATGACAACGACTGGCTGGAACTAAGTAATGGTTCCTTTTAGACTGAGCCTGGCTGCAGTTCCCAAAACTCCTGTATGCCTGTGTTACTCTTTAAAGCTACTATCTTTGTGATTCCCATCCCAGTACCCATCCCAGAGGACTGAATTAAAAGACATTGGAAAGATGAATATTTTTTGCCAATGGAGCCTTCAACCAGGGCCAGATACTTTAAACACCTAACCTAAGCACTGAAAAGATTATCAGGTCTTTTCTCCCATTTATAAATACAAATAACATTAAACTATAAAATAAATACAAGGCAAAGCGACAAAGTTTCTGATTCTTTCTATGATACTTACTTTAATAGAGTCTTTACAAAATGAAATTCTGACTTTATTGGGCCCCTTGGCTCATGCTTCGTCTGCTTTGGGGGTAAGCCAGCATCCTATTCTGTAGATGTTATCTTCAACTGCTCCCCTCCTCCTCCAAAAGCAGAAGGGATTGCATGACTGAGTCATAGGGAGGGAATAGTCTTGGCTGACTCAAGAGGAGAGTGGTCTTGCTGGACTTTGCCTGGCACAGAAGCAATAGAATTGTTACCAGGATGGAAGACGTACTGTTCAAAATGAAGCTCAGATGTGTGAATGCAGCCGTGGTTACCACCCAGCCTCAGGACATCTTTCTGCCTGGTTTGTACACAAGTTCCCAGGTTCCTATCACTTCTGAATATTGGCTTTGCATTCCTGAATCCTTCCTCCCCTCCAGTGCGCAGGCATCAAGTATTTATAATAAGCCGCCTCAGATTACATGGATTGCTGGTTATCCTATTGTGTTTACTTAGATTTATTCTGGTTTATTCCTTCATTTGAATGATTTAAGACATACTCATGCTGCAAGTTACAGTTTTGACATTTAAGCCATAAAGTAGCAGCTTAAGTCTCTCCAAAGCAAACAAAGCCAAAAAATTAGTCCTGAAAACCAGAATATTGAATCTCAGAATGACCCTGTCCAGGAGAGTGAAACTGTAAAGATCTCCCATAAACCTTTCCTTCCAGCTTTTCTACATTCTACGTCCAGAGATAACAAACAAAATGTGCTAGCCTCATTTAGTTGCTGGTGAGCTGCAAAGGGAGAGGCGTGTAAGGTGATTTGGTCTCAACTAAAGGAGGTCTCATAAGTACATCAAATGGGTTTCTGCCTCCATATATATGAAATGGTATTGACATCCCAGGGTGCACATTAAACACAACAGCACGGCTTTCAGCAAATAATGAACAGCAGGACTCCCGCTCAGACAAAGCATATGGGCATTTTTCTTGCAAGAGGAAATACTTTTCACAGTTAAATAACAATAGAAATAGAAAGAAGTGAAAAGTTGCCAGAAAGGAACAAAAATGGGATTTCCAGCTGTGAGCTGAAAAGAGATGGAAAGGCATCAAGAGGGAGAGATCTGGAAAACACTGCACTGGAGAAAAGCCATTCAAAGACAGACAATGACAGACCTAGTCTTTGGCACAGGAGTCTGGTGCGCACTGGTTGGAAGAGTTTCAGAAGGAAAGAGCCTGAAATCTGCTCACCACAGTGACAAGTTGTCCCAGGCTACAGATACTACAGAGCAGATCTCCTGGGCTTAGGCTAACATTGGGCAGTGCAGAAAAGAATTAAAGGTACTAAAAGGCCTGGAAAGGTGGTTTTGGGTTTCTTTGTGTCTTTCTTGGTTTTTTGTTTTTTTTTTTTTCTTTTTAATGTAAGTTTCTCCCCTGACTTACTGGGATTGCAGCCACTTGAATGTGAATTGCTGTTATTTCACATCAAATGTTCTGTTTTGTTCTGTGCCCTCACAGCATGAGATAAAGTAGAATTGTTTTGTTTCTTTGGGGTTTTAGAGAAGGCGATTGAAAAGATAGGGCCACAGATCAGTTGTTCGTGGAGAAGTTCTTTCTTGCTCTGTTTTGCCACAAAGCTCTTCCTTCAGGGCCAAAGCAATGGGGAGAGGAGAGAAAAAAAAAAAAAAAAAAACCCTCCTCCAAGAGGGCAGAGAAGAGAAAACTGAGTAGTGGAACTGAAGGGTCAGCTGAGGCTGAAGAGTCCCTCTGGGCTAGAGGGTGGTAATGAATGGGGCAAGGCTAGAGTTGGCTGGGAAGGCTCACTGGCCAGTGGGCCAGGGGTCAGCAAGACTAAAAGGATGTGACCTGGTAAGTAAGGGATCCTGATCCAAGCACCAATGGTAAGGGGAATAGGTGCCTTAGCAGAACTAGAAAGCAGCTACTGTGATGGGTCAGGGAGCGCAGGTCTTGTGCTCAGCCAACTTGGGACGCGATCAGTGAGACCACAGATCCTGTGGCTATTGGGAAGTGAGAAGAATCAGAGCCTTGCTATCAAAGGGTGACTGATCTATGGACCAGCAGCATTCAACTCCTGGGAGCTTGTTAAACCTGCAGAATCTCAGGCCCCTCCCAGACCTGCAGCCTCAGACTCTCATGGGGTGCGTCCAGAACTGTTTTAATAAGCTCACCCGATGATTCCTATGCATCCAAAAGTTTGAGAACTGCTGACTTAAAGGGTCAGATATCCTGAAGCATGTTCGCAAGAGCTTAAGCAAACATAAGAATGTATGCACTGGGAAACCAATATGAGTTACAGTGCAAGACAGAATCCTAGATTATCCAGTCCCTACGGTGGCAAAGGGGAAATAATAGAATGTGTCAAGTGGACAAATCATATTGGAAGTAAATGACAAAAAGTTGGGTTTTTCTCTGGAATAGAGAGAGACATCGAGCTATCTCTGTGTCAGCAGTGAAATATAATGCACAAAGGTGCCAAATGCCAAAGGCTAAGGTGCACAGCGGCAGGAGAGCTGGAAGCAATGACGGTGCAAGTGGTCAGCCTCTGCCCAGCAAAGGCTGCAGCGCCTGATGGATGGAGCAAATGTAACTGTACAATACCGCTAATGAGCAGGTACCACGAGCACCCCCACAGCACACCATGCTCAGCTCAATTCAAGTTTATTTAACAGTATGGCAACCTTTTTTTGAAACACAGTTAAGGTTACGTTATATAATGTAACTATATAATAATATACATACAATAATTATGTAAAACTATATAATTTATACTTGTGTTATATTGAATATGCTATTTATTAGATATTCAATTGAAGGGGTAATGGAATATACTGCCTCTTTAGAAATAAATATATAAGAGGCCTATTCTAAACAACTCTAGCACTACTGTGGCCACATGACTGACACCACTCCCAACCACTGTATTTTTTCCACAGTAATCCTTTCTGGCATCCTATATAATTTACACATTTATTACATTTATGATTGTCTGACCACTAGAATGGAAGCTCTGTAGGGTAGTGATTTTTGTTTATTGTTCACTGATGAATTTCTAGCACCTAAAAGTATCCTGGGCTCAATGAATATTTGTTGAATAAATTAATTAATAAGGGGAGTACTTCATATCACAGCAATATAGTAGAAAAGCAGATCTTTTACTGGGCTCTTTTTTTCAATAAATGATATTGAACTGCTGGCACACACTGTAACGTCGAGAGTGTCTGTAAATGTTGCTGTATATCTTGCTGTTCTCCTACAGCAAGAGAGGAACTTTCTGATACGAAATTTCATCTTTACTATTTTTGTATAGGGCCCAATAGCAGCTATGGCTCTCTCAGTTGTAACCACTATTTTGTGTTTTACTTTCATCAGTCAGAATCAGAACTATACCTTAAAGTTGATAATTAACCAGCCAAGAAGTTCACAAGCCATTTTTTTCCTCTATAACTAGCTGTAAACTCTCACTAAAGTGTATAGGAAAGCTAAAGGTTGAAGCATTTTCTTTGGGCCAAACCAACTAAATGCACCTTTTCATGGGGCAGTGGAGAAACATTTATTTTAACTGGCTTTTGCACAAAGCACTTACCAAATCTCTGAAGTGCTCCATAGCGGGTTGAGCCTTTTGAAGAATAGATTGGAACATCTTTATAAAGAAACTCATAAATTCAGGTTGGCATGACAAGAAGGGAAAGTGGAGAATGTCAGGGCATACCCAACTTCCGGACTGTGGGTTGCAGGGAAAGAACTGCACTGTGCAGCCAGTCTAAGGCAGGAGATGTCAGGCCTGTCCTGTGACAGCAATCATGAATCATTTGTCAGAACACTTAATATTCCACACGGAAGCAAATCTATTTCTCACCCTACCTCACTCCCCAGGAATAAGGGGAAAGCAGAAGTCATGTGGGAAATTTTCATTCCTGTGTAGAAAGAGAGCTATTCCATGGACTAAGACTGTGACGCCCTTCAGACTATAACTTTGCACATACCTGAGAAGTCCTGGGCATTCAGCTCTGGCTGTCATGTTAACAGGCCACTCCGAGCAGTGAGACTAAGTACAAAGGAATGGTTCTGCTGCCAAGCCTGAAGACATGCAAGCCCGAAGGTCATGATGGAGCAACTCTGCAAATTAGCTGGAATTCACAGATAGGGGATTTGAAAGAAATGATTATGCCTGAAGGAAATCAATCTGGGAGCAAGGGATTTAAAATAAAACTTAGCCTCTGTAGTATCATCAGGCTAATGGTAACCACTGCCATCAGCTGCTGTGTGGCTAAGCCACTGGCAAAAGAAAAGGGGGACCTATTGGTCATGAGTTTGAAAAATTGTTTATAGGTTAAACAGCAAAGTTAAAATATTTAATACTATTTTCTTTCCTCTGAGAAAGAAAAAAGCCCTGCTAATTGACACTAAACTGAGTGCCTCTAATGGGACATGGGGAACCTTATGGGTTGCCTTTCATCACAGTCCCTGGTTCAGGGAATTATAAAAACAACCACATTTCCCAGATGGGTACCTCCTCACTTCCTGGCACAGTAGCCACCTAAACAGCAGAAGCACTTCAGGGAACAGGCAGAACTGGGAATGTCCTTTGCGTAGAGGACAGTGCTCCGAGAAGGTATTCAAAAGAATGGAACAAAAATCTGGAGAAGGTCTGAGATTTTTTTGAGTAAGTCAGCTGGCCGGAAAAAGCCAACTATGAGTTTGCTTTGTTTTGTTTTATTTTCTCCTTACCCTCTAGCTTTTCAAAGCAAAGAAAAAGAAAACTTTCCATCTTTATCAGAATTTAACAATGTGCAACAGCTAGTTTACCTTGACTCTTTTTGATCCCTTGTTAAGTGCCATGAAAAAAGTTAAATGCTTCACATGAGTTATTTCATCCAAATCTCCCAAGAACTCCATGAAGTAGGTCTGATTTTTATTTTTCTTATTTTGCAAGTGAAGAAACTGAGGCCCACAGAGTTTAAGAAGCTTTATCTAAGACCACACAAATGTGAAATGGAGCCAGAATTCAATCCTCACCTTGTTTCAGCCAATTAGCATCAGATTATTTGGGATTAGAATTTTCCTTAAGGGTATTCGTCATTTATGATGAGCCAGAAAGCAGGTGTCCCCAAAACTTCATGGCAGTCAGCAGCATGTTCAAAATATTTATCTCTAGCACTAAACAACTTGACAGAGTTGGAAGGGCATCTTTCCAATGTCTCATTTTTTACTTTACAAGTGCATGCTCAGATTTGAGGGCAAGGGATGGAATGTGAGAATCACATCTTCCACAAGTTATATAACTGTATATAAAAAGGAAAAAGATGGCGTGAACTCAGATGGCGTAGCTTGCAGTGAGCCGAGATTGGGCCACTGTACTCCAGCCTGGGCGACAGAGTGAGATTCCGTCTCAAAAAAAAAAAGAAAAAGAAGGTTTGAAATGTGAATGTCCTTTCCTTCTCACTGCTTCTCTAGATTTTGATTGGAGCCGTCATTGCCATGGGCTCAGCCGACAGAGATGGCCGCCTTCACCCAGGAGATGAGCTTGTGTATGTTGATGGGATTCCAGTAGCCGGCAAAACCCACCGCTATGTCATCGACCTCATGCACCACGCAGCCCGCAATGGGCAGGTCAACCTCACTGTGAGAAGAAAGGTGCTATGTGGAGGTATGTACCTGGAGCCTGCTGCAGGAATCGAGAGTTAGGTGGTAAGATGTTTTTGTGAGACACGGTAAGGCCACATGAAACAAAATATTAAATCAACATTTCTACATTATATGAGGAAGGAAACAACCTAGATATTCCAAAAGTAATGATGACTTTGAAAGTGCTGATTTTCACCCCACTGGACAAAAATCCAGTCTTTGAGGCCTGTATTTTAAATGTATTCATTAAAAATTTCTAGAATAGCCTGGGGCTAATTTAAGGTAGGTATGCTCTCTGCTTTCTGGTAGTTGCTAGTTCTAAGAAGAACAAGATAGTAACAGAAAATATGCCATTTGAAAATGTGTTTGCAAACCAAGAGTCACAGCATTTTGATGCCATAATGAGGCAACCAGGATGGAAAATTAGCTTTCATTGTAGAGCCTGATAAAAGGTAACAGTAAAGCTGTTGCTCTGATATAGAAAAAACGCAGCTGTACCTCACTCCAAGAAAACACAATTCATATAGTTCCAAACTTATGAAACAGATAAATTAGAAATAATTATTCCCTTTACAACCATTTTCTCAGCTTCATAAAGGAATCCACCAAAGACATACTTTTCAAAGTCAGCCCTTGTATTTATAGTATGATTCCACTTATCTCTCTTTACCGTATCAACCCTACAAAAAATTATTTATATTTTTAAGGAATATGTCAGTTACAAGCATCACACTGTTTTTTTAAGGATCTGAGCATTCAATAGCATTAGGATTGTATTATCTCCCCTCAAAACCACCCAGCCTTTGTTCTGTGAATCACAGAGGCAGCAACTCCAATGACGTTCAGTTGTCACCTTCTGCCCCAGCACCCCGCTGGTTTCTCTGCTCCACCCCTTGACAGCCCTCATACAGAATCATCAATACTAGAAGTAGGAAGGACCTTAGCTATGTGAGCTTCCTCTTGTTACAGATGAGGAAACTGAGGCCCAGAGGTTTGATAGCTTGCCCAGCAGTCCACAGTGAATCGGTGACAATGCAGAGAGGGACTCTTCTCTCTAAGGCCAGTGTTTATTTCTTTATGTTACTTTGTCCCCTACACTATTCTACCACAATCCTCTCCCCTAGTGAATTAGAAGGTGTTAGAACTTAGCAAATGTCACTCCGTAATGCAGGGAGTCTTCCCATATGTGCTGTTATACCAGTTGCATTCCAGAAGAGGACCACAGGCTAATGACAGACTGTGAATGACTAGTAGGGAGGATAAGGCATATTCATGTGATGAAAAATCCTTTTCTTTCTAAGTCCCCCTAGAAGCTAGACCATGAGCGAGGGCGGTCATTTAAAAGGGCAAGTCAAAAGAATTGTCAGCCCTCCCCAGTAGAGACTGCTATATATCTTGTATCTTATAGAGGTTTTGCTAAGAGGTGCCATTTGTCTTCAGAAATTCATGGCATGTCACTTGACCCAAAGAAGTAAAGCATCTTAAATTATGCTTTATCCTTGGGCTAGATGCCAAGAGGAAGACAGTGCTTGCTTGGTTAACATTTAACTGTCTCTCTCCCTGCAGAGTAAGTTTTAATAAAAAGTTTGCTGTGCTATATGTTCTATAACCTAAAGATAAATTAAAAAGATACCTGATTTACAAGGAAATATACCGCAAAGTGCAAAACCAATGTACCAACATAATTTCATGCTCCCCTTGCCACCAACTGATTATTGCAAATTAAATTTTCTTTTAATCAACCCAAGCTGTGGAAGTGTATACCAAATGCTGCAAAAATGCACTCCTGCAATTTGTGGATCATGTGACTTCCGTAAAGATGCTCTTTGCTGCAGCTCTTACCAACTTTACTCAGTTAGGCTTTTGAGTGCATTTCAAGTGCATTTAATTTTTGAAAATGTTCTGCTGCAGATTGCTCATTCACACCAGGAGAGTTTCCAAGTTAATTCAGCCCACTCTTCCTTGAAAGCTTCATCAGTATTGAAAATATTAAGTTCAGCAAAGGATACTTTGATAGCAAAGTAACGCCTTGAAATAGGATGGAAAAGATTTAAAAAACAGGCGTGGAAAGGTGACCTTTCTTCATAGCTGCCATTTCTTCAAAGTGAGAAGGAACAACTACAAATGAATATGACAATGGAGATGCCTTTTCAAGGACTGTTGTTGTCATTGTTTTGTTATTATTATGCTTTCCTAACCAAAGGCAAGTGGCTTAGGAGCCTGGCTTAGGAGCGGATGGTTCGAAGCTGAGGGGAAGTGAGCAATTAGCTAAGGAAGAGATAGGAGCTGGAAGAGGAGCAGCATTGCCACCCCCTTGCACAAAGGAGCAGCGCTGTGGGGAAAGGGCTAGGAAGAAGCAAGGTCATAGGGATGACATGCTTCTACCTTCCCCTTGCCTCAGCTTGTACAAATGCCCACCCCACCTCAGAAGATAGACAGCACTGGCTTCTTAATTGATGCTCAAGAAAGATAACACATTCATTATGAGAGATACAGAAAGGTTAGTTAAATGCTGAGCAAAAATTAAGATAACACAAAAACTTGCCACAAATATTAAGTTATTTTTAAATATACATACTAAGGATAGAAAGGCAAAAAAAATTTTTTTTTTTGAGAAAGGGTCTCACTCTGTCACCCAGGCTGGAGTGCAGTGATACAATCACGGTTCACAGCAGCCTCAACCTCCCAGGCTCAAGTGATCCTTCTGCCTCAGCCTCCCAAATAGCAGGGACTATAGGAATGTGCCACCGTACCCAGATAATTTTTGTGTTTTTTTGGTAGAATAAATACAAAATTTTTTGTATTTGGGGTCTCGCTATGTTGCCCAGGCTGGTCTCAAACACCTGGGCTCAGGTGATCACTCGCCATAGCCTGCCAAAGTGCTGCTATAGGTGTGAGACGCCTTGCCTAGCCTAGAAAGCCAGAATTTTCAATCAGAAGATAAACTACCTTCTCAAAAGTGAGAAGTTGTTGAGTAAAGGAAGAAGGTATCAAGTAGTGCTTCCAATTTTTCTTTTATTCATTTATTTTTATTTTATTGTTTCAGCAGGCAACTATGGATAATAGATTGCCTCTGGTTTTATTTCCCAAACAGTAATAGCACACACTTTCACCTTGTGTTAGTTTTGAGAGAAGATGCCTTATCCATGCCTCCAGCTCCAGGATTTGGTTGGTTTTTTTTCCCAAGGATATTAGAAGAGTGGCTTTAATTATTACACTGAAAAGCATAAATATTTTTATGTTTAGCAGATCAGCTTTGAGACATTCAACCTAATGGCACATTATTTTGGATGCACACCATGTCTCTGAGGAATTTCCTAAAGTGTAAATCTAGAATTGACGTGAAAGAACATTTTATGACTTCAGAAAAACATGTTAGAGTCGGTCTTAAAGCTATCAGCATCTTTTCTTTGACACCTAAGGGAAAGTCTAACTCTTGGCCAAGAAAGGGGAGGTTATCTTGGCAGACGGGTGAAAAGTTTAGCCAGTATTGAAGGTGCCAGTACATTCCCTGATCCTGGTGACTACACTTTTTGCCAATTCTAAATGCATTCCCTTGTTGTTTGTCTGCAACCATGTCACCCATTTACATAAGCTGTCTGCCTTGATGAGCATAAACTGGGAATGTCTGCACGAATGCCTGTAGGCAGGCCAGCCCCTAACATTTTCAGGGTCACAGCCTGTGGGCTGCTCCTGCCCCATGAGGACCACAAGGGACCTGGTACACATGCATGTGGATATCACAGCCCATATGACCAAGCTCTGTCCATACATATACCCCATTGCCTCAGCTGTGCTTCAAGGCAAAATATGCCTGTCTGCAATGCTGTCATCCTTCCAGGGACAGTCCTGAGAAGAGACCCAGGCACACCCTGGAAGCAGGCAAGGTCTATATGGTTACAGAATTCACAAGGTCGGGAGATCGAGACCAGCCTGGCTAATACGGTGAAACCCCGTCTCTACTAAAAATACAAAACAAATTAGCCGGGCGTGGTGGCGGGTGCCTGTAGTCCCAGCTACTCTAGAGGCTGAGGCAGGAGAATGGCATGAATCCAGGAGGCGGAGCTTGCAGTGAGCCAAGATCACGCCACTGCACTCTAGCCTAGGCGACAGAGCGAGACTCCATCTCAAAAAAAAAAAAATACTAATTATTTGACTTGAGTAGATACTGAGCGACTGAATTCTATGTAGCCACTTGTGTATGAGCTAGATGAATGAGTCAGGGATCCTGGAAATTAGTGTTTTCTTTTAAAAAATTATATAATATATGATATTTAGTCACTTTATGATGTTTTACTGTATTATTATAAAACAAGGCTGTTAATGCCCTGCAGTAGGAAGGACTGTTGGAAAGAAGACAGTCTCACTTGGGTCCAGAGCCAGATGAGTAGAAAAATGATGTGGGGTGAGTCCCTGAAAGACAATCATGTGACCAGTTTTCAAGTGTCAAGGGCCCAGAACAAGCCCAGGAAGAACTTCGAAGTCGTCTTAACTTCCTGATTTTAAATATGCTCTTTCGGCTAAAGATAAAGAACTTTGTTCTGGAAGTTGAAAGAGAAGTGCAAAGGCAATAGAAAAGTATCCTATTAATGTATATGACTCTTTCACGTACCCCGGGAATCCTCAAATTGACTTAGTCAATGATTTTCTCTCTCTCCAGAACCTGTAACGTTGCCACTCCCAGTCATTTACTGCAAAGACAGATAATTCTTCTTTGTTGCTGACTTACTGACAACCACAGCTCTCAATCTCCTAAAATATGACAGCCAGAAAATAAGATCTCTCTTGTCACTGCCTATGACGTTTAGTTGCTGATTTGGTCCAATAACTTGAGGAGATTTTCAATTTAATGTAGCAGCATAATAATTGTTTGTTTTTCTTCTTCCTGACTATCTCCAATCACCTTATTTCCAACTTGTACAAGGACTGATAAAGGACATGTGATGTACCAAGACAATAACAACTTGTCTTTGGGTGATGTGTTCCAGCAGGGAGGATACAATTTACAAGCGAAGTTTTAAATTCTGTTTGAACAGAAAGAAAGGCTTTGACATTGACATTCTGTTCTCTTATGACCTTGGTACATTTCTGACAAAAAAGCATCCATTTTTTCTTTTATTTAAATATGATTAATTAGATCTTAAAGAAAAATAAAATTTACCAAGTAATAACAAGCAACAGCCTGGGTCTCATTCATTCCGTAATTACAAACAAGAAATGAGTACATTTTGGTTAGGCCATTTTTAAAATCTAAGTATATAGACAAATGAAGCTTTTTTTTTTTTTAAGGTATCGGTGTAACAAAACATCTCTTGCAGTCTTTGTTTTTTTCCCCTGACATTTTCATTTCAAAATGGAATTGTAGCTTGTAAGGTTAACAGCCTTCATTGGAACTTTTGATAATTATTTTTAACTTGCCATATGGGACACCTTCCAGAGTTCTAAATAGGATACTATACCTAGGGACCCAAAATGGAATAATTAATGGTGATTGTTTCCCTCTTACTATTCCTCTGTTCCATAAACATCTTTTGAGTACCCTAATCAAATTTTAAGATGGGAATGAAACCAGCCCTATTTCTAATTACATTATTCTAGGTGCCCACTTTGGTTCTCTTCATCAGAGTGCCAATACCTAGGTATTAAATTAAAATGATGAAATTCTTTCTGAATGACAGATAAACTTCCATTTCAAAAACTAGCTTCTTTTGACTGCCAACTTTCTATCATTTCTCCATGTAAATATGCTGGCTTTCTCATGAAAGTATTGGTTTGGTTTATCTGGTTGATAATAGAGTATATTTTATATTAAGATGGACTGTAAAAATGGAAAAGACCTTCAACAGCTCCTTAGAGATTCAAACTTCATAATTTCAGAGCCTGAAATTAGATTTGATCCTACAGTGAGCAAACTCTTTTTTAAATGAAAATCTCAACTTAATTTATTCTTTTAAATCACTTCATTGTGATATGGCTGATATACAAAAAGCTGTGCAAACTACTTTTAAGAAGTATATTTTCCACATTCATGAAGTAAATCAATATTTCTAGGCTAGCAGAATATTATAAAGCATAACTATAGCTCTTTAGAAAAATGCATGATAGTTAACTTTACAGCACAGGGATGACCCCTGTGCTGTAAGCCCGCCTTATAATACATCTACAGCAGCATTTCTCAAAGTGTAGCCTTGAAACTTGATGCAGATTCTTGTGCCCAGACCTACTGAAAAAACATTCCGTGGGTGGCCCGTGAAGATGTACTTTTTTTACAGTTTATTTAAGTGATTCTTATGCACCATATAGTTTAAGATTCTACTTGTTTTCTGACCATCTTCAGTAAATTATTCTTATGCAAAGAAGAACCTCAATATCTAAAACTAGGCATTGTCCCAGGGTTTGCAGTCCTCATGAGAGGAAGATATAAATCAGTAATAGCACAGAGGAGGCTGATGAGGGGTTTCACCTGTGTTTGCTATGAAAACTAGAACAAGCAAGACCTTGGGAGCTCCACGCCTGTAGCTTTTCAAATGCTCTGCATATCTGGGAGAAAGAGAAGCAAGTCAACCAGGCTTGTAACAATACCACTGTCTAGAACAGTGCCTAGTACATACGAAGCATTCATTGAGACTCTTGTCAAGTAATTGATTACCTGTGTGTGGTATATTTTCCAGGGGAGCCCTGCCCAGAGAACGGGAGAAGTCCAGGCTCTGTATCCACCCACCACAGCTCTCCACGCAGTGACTACGCAACCTACACCAACAGCAACCACGCTGCCCCTAGTAGCAACGCCTCTCCCCCTGAAGGCTTCGCCTCCCACAGCCTGCAGACCAGTGATGTGGTCATTCACCGCAAAGAGAACGAGGGCTTCGGCTTTGTCATCATCAGCTCCCTGAACAGGCCTGAATCTGGATCCACTATAAGTAAGTGCCCAAATTTGCCTGCATTTGAATAAGGGGTCTTGTTTTGATTTGTTCCAGTGATACAAATACTGGACAAGTATACCAGAAGACTGTTGCAGACATACCGTATAGCCTGAAAGCCACAGGCTGTGGGCACAAATAAGGTGTACATACCACTGACTAGCAGAATGTTGCTGACCTCTGGCTCAAGAAGGCAAGAACACAACTAATGCCCTCAATTCCTCAACCCCTATAAAAGCTCTTCATTCTTTTGTAAATTAGGAAGAAAGGAGAACAGAGTGATGTGGTAATGTTGCCGTGAAAGGAGGGGTGCTTCTTTTTATGGGTAGGTCAGGGAATGTTCTCTAAGTAACTTGACTGAGAACTGTTCAACAGAATGGAAATAGACATGCAAAGGATCTGCAGAAAGAATCAGTCCAGGCAGAAGGCTTAAGGTGGAAAGGAACTTGGTATCCAAGAAATACAGAGAAGCCCAGTGCAGCTGTAGTACGGGGAGCAAGGAGAGTGGCAGGAGGCAGACAGTGCCAGCTTCATGGGCTGTTGGTGGAAGTCTCAACTGTAGTCTAAGTCCGTGGGAACCACTGGCAGGTTTTAAGCAGTGGAGTGAAATCTGACTTATATTTTTAAAAGATGAGTCTAAATGCTTGTGGAAATTGAAACCAAGGCGTTGGGGGTGGGGGAGAAAGCAAGAATGGGAGCATGAGACATAGTCAGAAGGCTGTTTAAACATCCCTATGGGTTCAGAGACACTGGCGCCTTTGTAACCGCCCACGGGCTTCACCTTGCCTGCTGCCTAACAGAGCCAATTTATCAAGACGGGAATTGCAACGGAGAAAGAGTAATTTACGCAGAGCCAGCTGTGCGGGGAGACAGACTTTTATTACTCAAATCAGTCTCCCTGAGCACTCGGGGATCAGAGTTTTTAAAGATAATTTGGTGGGTAGGGGCTTGGGAAATGGGGAGTGCTGATGTGGTTGGGTTGGAGATGGAATCATAGGGGGTCGAAGTGAGTTTTTCTTGCTGTCTTCTGTTCCTGGGTGGGATGGCAGACCTGATTAAGCCAGATTACTGGTCTAGGTGGTATCAGCTGATCGACTGAGTTTAGGGTCTGCAAAATATCTCCAGCACTGATCTTAGGCTTCACAATAGTGATGTTATCCCCAGGAGCAATCTGGGGAGATTCAGACTCTAGAAGCCAGAGGCTGCACGACCCCTAAACTGTAGCTAATTTGTTAGTCCTACAAAGGCAGATTGGTCCCCAGGCAAGAAGGGGGTCTTTCAGGGAAAGGGCTGTTATCCATTTTGTTTAAGTCAAACCATGAACTGAATTCCTTCTCAAAGTTAGCTCAGCCTATGCCCAGGAATGAACAAGGACAGCTTAAAGGTTAGAAGCAAGATAGAGTCATTTAGGTCTGATTTCTTTCATTGTCATAGTTTCCTCACTTACAATTCGGCAAAGGCGGTTTCACCCTTCCCTAGGTAGCAGTAGAAGGAAGAGAAGTAGATGAATGCAGCTTCTGAAGCTCCTCCAGCTCTAAGGTTCTATGAGTCTATACAACAGGTGACAGTCATGGCCCATATTTGTCTTCCAACTGGCCATCTTTGCAGATTCTCAGACTCCCTTGGTTGTTTTTCCTTTTCTACCACACTCTTCCAGAGCTCATTCAGCAGCCTGCAAACAGTAGAACAGAAAAGAGGATAGGAAAATATGTGCGTTTTTCATGGTGAAGTGATTTGACCCAAAATGTTGGGTATGGAAACACGAGAATAAAGGAGCATTAAGAGAAACTAAATAAATGCACATACGTTGTAGTCCTAAAATTCTTATAAACTGTGGGAGTTTCTAGCACATGTGGGATAGGGGAGAGGTGAGTGTTAAACAATATTCAAGAAATAAAGTTATTGAGAATGAATAAAAACTTTATATGATAAAGTTAATGTTATAAAAAAAAAAAAAAGAAGAAGAAGAAGAAAACCACCAGAACCTCATGGAAAGAGTTGCCCTGTTTAGTTTAAGCCTTGATAAATTCAGGAGTGAAAACTACAGAAGCATTAAACCTCAGCGAATATGTGCAGAAGCCAAATTACATACATCTGAAAGTACAATTTCATTTCTCTTTTTCTTCATGATAAGCGGAAGAAGTAAATCCAACTTTAAGCGTAGACTAAAAGCAGAATTCTGTCAGTACGATGGAGTCACCAAGATTAAAAGGATACAAAACTAAGAATTTTCATGAATTGTATAAACAGCCTTCCAATAATTTACACTTGAAGAAAGTGTTCACAGAGAGCTTTTGCAGCTATTCCAGTCTTTCAAATTGTTTATTGGGGCAGAATACCTAAAGGACTAGAATGAAAATAAAAAGTATATTGCCACAATGAAAGTGTTTAGCATGTATTTAAAGTCTCAGCTTTATTTGAAGTATAACAGCCTTATTTCTAAATGTATAGGGGAATGTGTGTATGTATGTATGCGTCTGTGTGTGTGTGTGTGTGTGTGTACACGTGCACTTACTATGTAAAGAAACACTTTTCCTATTGCAAATAAAATCCATGCATAAGTAGATTTGGAAAACAATAGGTACAAATGCTTATAATTAACATGCGAATTTTTCTTCCTGCCAAATGACATCAGACTGACCTCAAAAATTTAATTCTAACCACTTTCAAAATGATATTATTTTACTTCACCCTGGAGAGTGGAAATATATCCTAGAGTTCATGATGCTTCATGGCTTTTTTTCACATGTTTATTTCTTTTCAATTTAGGGAATTTAAAATGCAAGTTGCCCCCGTGCTCTGTGGCAAAAGCAGCTATTCACTGATAGCACATTGCCTTTACAGTATGTAATTTGCAACATGCACCATGCACCGAAAAGCTTCCTGAGCTGATGCTACCTCATACTTAACATCTGTAATAATTCTGAATTCTAATTTTGAAGAGAAATGCAAAGTGTCTCATGAATGGTAAAAGGCATCCTTGTGCCACATATCCCTGGTCAAAATATCAAAGGTTTGGGGCTCTGTGAGACTGCCCGAGGTTTATGTAATCAGGTGCCCAAGAATCACGATCATTCCCAGAGCTTGCATTGTTTTTCTCTTCATGGCTTACCCGAGCCCAAGGATCATTAACACATTCACTGCTTTTTCATTTTTGTTTTTGTTTTTGTGGCTTCTGAAGCTTTTTCTTGGTGAACTAAGTGCTGTTTTGCCTTTGATAGGAGCATCATTACATTTAAGCAAGGAAAGGGCGTGGTTAATAGCCCAGGTTCTACAATCATACTATCTGGATTTGAAACATGGCTCTAGCATTTACTAACCATGTGACCTTGAGGAAGTTGCATGACCTCTTTGGGCCTCAGTTTCCTCAGTGTGAAGAAAAGAACATTTTAATACCTCGATCGGGGGGTTGCTATGAGAGTTCAATGAATATGTGGAAGTGCTCAAAAGAGCACTGGCTCGGAGTAAGCACTAAATATGTCATTGCTGCTATCTACACACCATCCCTTCTAGGAATTACCTTTCATTCCAGCAGCTCACTCTTGTCGGGTAGTGCAGAGTTTACTCTGGCTATAGGTTCTGTTAGCCATTAGTCAGAGCCACCACTCTCTGAGGACAGCTAAATCTGGGCCACAGATGAGCATATCTCTGAGGGCAGCTTCCCCCTCCCGGTCCCCTTCCTCACATGTGGCCCTTCTGGGAACACAGTCTTTCTCACCATCCACAAACTACAGCCCAGGTCAGCAATGGGGGCCATGGGAGTACTGGTGGCCAAGCCAGTCCAGCTGAGGTGCTTTTGCCGGAGCTTCAGACTAGAATTGCAGTTTTCTCTCTCCAGAGTTCACAAGCCAATGAGCTATAAAAGTCATGGAAATCATCAAAATTCAGACTCAAGAGGATGTCTTTTAGAATCTCCCTCACAAACATGCTGCTATTGAATATTATCAGAGGAGACAGGAGAGAAGAAAGACCCAAATGTAAACTTTCCCTCCCTATGGATGGAGATACGTCCAGAGCTTCTTCAGCCAAGACAACAACTTTGCCAAGGACCAGGGAGGCTTAGCTAATTGGGAAACTAGGAGTTAGGGTTTCTTACTTATTTGCTAGCATTTAGTAATGCTCTTTACCAAAGGCTCACAGATTTGTTTTCAAAATATTATTTCCCCAGGAAATAAGGAAGAAACTTTATATCAATCAATGTAATGAAGGAGCAAGCTGCTTCCTTCCAAGGTCAGTGACCTAGTAGGCCAACCATTCAACCATTGCATAGGAGCAGACAGGTTTAGAAGCTTAGAAGCTTTCTATCTGTAGTGCAGGAATATTCTTTTTTTTTTTTTTTTTTTGCCGTGGTCTCACCCTGTTGTCCAGGCTGGAGTGTAGTGGTGCAGTGGCATGATCTGGGCTCACTGCAACCTTCACCTCCTGGGTTCAAGTGATCCTCTTCCCACTCAGCCTCCTGGGTAGCTTAGACCACCATGCACCACCATGTCCAGCTAATTTTTGTATTTTTAGTAGAGGCAGGGTTTTGCCATGTTGCCTGGGCTAGTCTCAACCTCCTGGGCTCAAGTGATCTTTCCACCTTGGCCTCCCAAAGTGCTTGGATTACAGGCATGAGCCACTGTGCCCGGCCAGAATATCCTTCTTGACTTCCAGTGAGAACAGGGAAGCATCCTGGACAGTTTTGTCCAATTATGCAAAATATTATGTATTTGTTTCAGACTTAAAATTGGGCCCAAGGGAAACTAAAGTGGTTTCCAGAACAAAGTCTTGAATAAAAATAAACTATAATAGGCAATTTCACCTTAAATTCTTTAAAAGATTTGAACAAAGACTTATATGCAAAATGTTCATTACTGATAAACATAGAAAATTGAAAATAATGTTAGAAACCACCAAAATAGATAACTTTGGTATATTTGGGAATTGAAGCATTTTCTGCTGTTGACTAACTACTTTCATTCTCACTGAGGTCTGCATGCACAGGTTAGAGAAGACTCAGG